GAAACACTCGTCTAGATTGTAATGAAAATTGTGTTTGTCAAAATTATACCGATTCGACGATTGAATTGCAGGATCAGAGTTATCGAGAGGGGAATTTAATATCAATCTCGTATATTTTCAGTCTCGGCGGTACGCTGCTTTTAGCTAAGGTCCTACGATGGTCGATACTTCCCCTTCTGAGTAAAAGCAAATCCTTTTGAACAGGCATAGAGTAAGTAGAAATAAAGAGATTCAGGGGCAGACCCACCCTTGAAACCCGCGGAGACACCCCCACCCCCTTCTCGAAGGGGTGGTGCGCACAGTTGCATATAAATATTATTTTCTCGAAAACGGTGAGAGATAGAGATTTGCGATTTACGCCATTCGAAAGAAAATTGAATTTTACATCTGATAGATATTTTTTGATTGATCAAAAATCTCAATGTCAGCTCCCAATAAAATATATATGGGAGGAGAGAGTTGTAGGCTGTCATGTTTTTCCTCATAACTATTGAACGGCCCAAAGAATCGAAAAATTAAACGAGAGAAAAAATGAAGCTTGCAGTTTTTTCTATCGAACGATATATATAAAGTTGGAGATATCTATATAGAGAAGGCATCCAGTGGCGTACGAACACATGCGCGTTTGGTAGAATAACCTGTGAAAAATGATAAAAAATACCTACCTACCTACCGTTTGTGCATGCAACGTGAGAAATGAACATTTTACTATATGACGTGAGGGCAAGAAGTTGATCTACACATCACACACAATTATGTAGGATACTACTTGGATTCAAGAAGGAATGTGGAAAATCTAACAATAAAGGTACAACAATTTAAACATTATTATTGTAATAAAAACAATCTGAAAGCATCAAAATTGACTCATCAACTCCAAAAACTACATGAATCAATCTGAGAACATAAAAATTAACTCATCAACTCTGAAAATGAAATGAAACAAATATAAAATCAGGTACTACAGCGCTAATTGCAGCATTCCTTACAGGTACATAGTTGTGTACATTTTAATTTCCTCAGGAAACATTTGCATTTATGATCACAAATTTTACACCGGCATTTAATCATTATATCTGTTACCAATCTTTCGTTCTTGATAATTGTCCAGAGTGGTATGCATTTTTCTTCCTCCAATGTCCATCTTCATTGGGATCAGATACCTTCAAAACATATGGTAATCCGTTCCAGGAAACCTCAACTGAATTATTCGCTCTAGATAGTAGAATTGTCGTGAATTACGAATGTTTCAGACTGTTATTAGATAAAGGCGTCCATCAATGCAGAAAATGTTTCCATGATAGGTTGATGCACTCGAAAAAATCAATTTCTGAACCAATCACTGAAAATAATAACATTCCCTTCAAAAATAAAAAAATAAGCAGAATAAATCAAGTAAAGTGAAAGAATTAAAATCAGATGTTTCTTTCATCAGTAGACTTTACTTTGTGTCACAGAATAGAGATGGTGACCTGAATTTTTTTTTCAAATTTGAGAATCATCCTTATCCACCCTCACTCGCTCAACTTGGTCAAATGTACCATGGCACGGAATCAGATTTATTACGATGCTTCGACAAATACATAACAGTTGAGAGTAGACCAATCGATGTTGATGCTGTATTGATTGATGGTGCTGCATTAGTACATATACTACAACCCAAGGCTTGCTGTACTTTTCAGGAATATATCTCTCTTATTGTAAAGCCTTATATTCTAAGAATTTTAGATATCTCTAAGAGGATTGATGTAATCTGGAATTTTCATATTGATAAGAACTTGAAGGCAAGTACAAGAGAAAAGAGGGGAGAAGGGAACAGGAAATTGGTGAGAGAAAACACCAGCATTCCACGAAATTGGAATGACTTCTTGAGAGACTCGGAAAATAAGAAAGAATTGTTCCATTTAATTTCCAACCACCTCAAAGACATGCCATTTCTCGAGAATACAGTAGTAGTATGTGATACAATTGAGGAAATACTTCACAATAGTGGATCCCTAGGAATCAATAAAATAACTGGTGTTAGCATCCATGAGGAAGCTGCTGATACTCGGATTTTTGTTCATACTCAAAATTGTATGGAAAATAATTTGAAAAGAATCTTGATAAAAACTGTGGATACTGATGTGATCATTCTCGCAATTTTCTATCAGTATCAGCATCAAGAGCAGGATATTTGGATAGAGTTTGGTACGGGAAAGAATATGAAGTACATTTCTTGCGTAGAAATTTCTGATGAATTGAAAGAGAAATGCCTGGGTCTGCCAATGTTTCACGCTTTCACTGGGTGCGATGTAACATTAGCCTTCTTCGGAAAAGGAAAAAGATAATGTTGGGAAGCATGGGATGTTTTTTCTGCCGTAACAGATGTATTGACACTTCACAATCGTGAAGAAAAATGGATACCACTCTGGACAACTATCAAGAACGAAAGATTGGAAACAGATATAATGATTAACTGCCAATGTAAAATTTGTGATCATAAATGCAAATGTTTCCTGAGGAAATTAAAATGAACACAATTATGTACCTGTAAGGAATGCTGCGATTAACGCTGTAGTACCTGATTTTATATTTGTGTCATTTTATTTTCAGAGTTGATGAGTTAATTTTTATGTTCTCAGATTGTTTTATGTAGTTTTCGGAGTTGATGAGTCAATTTTAATGCTTTTAGATTGTTTTTATTACAATAGAAATGTTTAAATTGTTGTACCTTTATTGTTAGATTTTCCATATTCCTTCTTGAATTCAAGTAGTATCCTACATAATAGTCTGTGTGATGAGTAAATCAACTTCTTCCTCTCACCTCATATAGTAAAATGTTCATTTCTCACGTTGCATGCTTAGCATGCACAAACGGCAGGTAGGTATGTATTTTTTATCATTTTTCACACGTTATTCTACCAAACGCGCATGTGTTCGTACGCCACTGGATGCCTTCTCTATATAGATATCTCCAACTTTATATATATCGTTCGATAGAAAAAACTGCAAGCTTCATTTTTTCTCTCGTTCAATTTCTCGATTCTTTGAGCCGTTTAATAGTTATGAGGACAAACATGACAGCCTAGAACTCCCTCCTCCCATATATTTTTTATTGGGAGCTGACATTGAGATTTTTGATCAGTCAAAGAATATCTATCAGATGTAAAATTCAATTTTCTTTCGAATGGCGTAAACCGCAAATCTCTATCTCTCACCGTTTTTGAGAAAATAATATTTATATGCAACTGTGCGCACCACCCCTTCGAGAAGGGGGTGGGGGTGTCTCCGCGGGTTTCAGGGGTGGGTCTGCCCCTGAATCTCTTTATTTCTACTTACTCTATGCCTGTTCAAAAGGATTTGCTTTTACTCAGAAGGGGAAGTATCTGACCATTTTTGGGCTCGTAGGCACTATACTATTTAGGCTGTTTGTCTACGTACAGTGAACGATACGAGAGATGAAGCATCAGCGAAATTATCGAATTACTATAGAGATTATTTTTTTCACCACCAACCAACGAATTGCATTATCTTATTCGTATTCGACTAGTGTGTATGATTGTACAACCCCATTTTAGGTGTCATAATTCAATAATCCAATTGACTACTTGCAAAAGACACAGAAAATCATTGTTTTTTCACAAATTTGATGAAAAAAAAATCTCTCTAAATACAACTCGTTTTTATCGGATCACTTGTTTCTGCCATCTTGTTCATTTGGATCATTCTCATGTACACTCGTCTTCAGAGATCATGTCGCACATGGACGGTGTCAGCTCCTTGATCACCGCTTCAATAAGAGCGCTCATACCGTGCAACCGCGAGGAAACAAAACGTTACCTCCTCGTAATTGAACTTGATGACAGAAATAAGGTTTTATTTCTTTGTAAGATTATATTATACACACATCTATTTAGAACCATTTGAGAAATCATAATAGAAGGACGCAGAAATAATTTGAATTGTAAAATTTGCTAGTGAAGAAGTAAATTGTTTTTTTATGAAATTGGTGGAGAAAATAATATTCCCAAATACAACTAGTTCTACAACTTTCATCAGATAATTTTTCATTTTAATCACTTATAATTCTTCATTCGAGGCAAAACCATACTAACAAACCGAATATATATAAAATCCGTTGTCCTAAAGGACTCGTGATGTTATCAATTGGTTTGTTTTCATATGTTTGCCAAATAAACAAGTATTCGTGGAAAAGACAAAATAATGGATAACATTTTGAAGACCGTAGTAGTATTACCTTTGATAATATTTCATGCAGTAAAATTACTTATTCTGCTACTTGGGCAAAGTATCAGGTTTGATTTTCAAATGTCAATCATAGTCGTGGAGTCATTGCTACCTTCGTCCTCTATACATTTTCTCTACTTGCTCTCTCAACTTGAAGTCCGGTATGATGATCGAATATTTAAAGCAATTTTACTATTCATTTATCAGGTCTCCATTTTTGAGATATGACGATTGATACTGATACCACTTCATTGAAATGAAAAAACTGCTCTGAAGAAGGTACACTATTATTATCTTAATAAAGTAAATAGAACTTTTCAAATTTTTGATAAGTGTTTGATTAGAACTTAATAGGGGTTGATGTCATTCAGTTTAGGAAAATAGTCCCAGGTGATACAAAAAAGTTTATGAATAATCTACATATGAAGGGAAATGGAGAAATTTCAGATGGACTTCATTTCTACATATTACATATTCAGGGTTTCTATAACTGAATCGTAGCATCCTAGTGGCCCTTGAAATAGTTTTTCCAATTGCCATTCTCTGGTTATATTATTTACAGACATTGAAGCGACCGAATGTGTTATAGTTCGATCTCCATGAGTGGGAAGCGGCTAATCAACAATATATTCCAACGGTGGCTACGATCATATAAATATTTATATTACAATATTAACCAAGTTTTTTTTTTTTTTCAAAAAATCACCCATATTTTTATAAAATGAATGCAAATACTTGCATCTTTCAATCATGGTATATCTTCATTTCAGTGATCAGAACATGACAAGTGGTGCACCATTGAATGAAAATAAGAAGAAAAAAGAGAGAAGAAAAGAAAAAGAGGCCAACATCGAATCTAGTGATGAAGAACCCAACAATGCACAAGGTAAGCATTTCAATGTTTACTCGTTTTAGGTTTTCATGATTGAACCTGGGTCCTATATTAACTAAGTTTCAAGTATGAATACAGGATACAATGAGTCGAAATTGTATCAAAAACAGTACACATTATATCCATCTCTCAACCAAGTGATGAAAACATGTTTTTCAAATATTAGCTTCTTGGGAGAATGACTATTATAATATATTATATCATTATGAAAAATATATTCGTCATGCTGCAAACACATGAATATTGAATACGAAAAAATATCAAATTAAGTAGTTGTCTCCTTCAGTTGATTCCTAAATACAGAGGCAGAAGTCGTTGCATGTTTCCTCAAGTTCACGTCATTGTTGAGAAAGAAGTGTTGAAGAATTCAAATACCTTCACATCTTGTAGAAGTACAAAATGGAACACCAAAATCAAACAAATAACATACCAACAACTAAAAACTTGATCAAATGGCAATTTTGATTTGTCTGTGGTAATGTTAGAAAACTTCTACCTAAAATTCTCCATTTTGACAAATATTCTATTGAAACAAATTAGCTCTCGATGTTTTTTGTGAAATAGCTCCATTGACAGGCAGACAAATTTTTGCTCAAAATGAACAGACATACCTCTCGCTTACTATGTTTTCATTTAGAATAACAATGTCTGAAACATATGATAAAAACCAAATTGGATCCAGCACATTCAACTCTTCAGTAGATCTGTTCCACGATATCGGACAATCTCCATTTATTTTGACATGATTTCTGTGATTGTTCAGGGCAAATTACGGACGATATTGAAAAAAATAGGAGCGACCATTATAATCAAATGTATTCATTTTCAATTTCCACTTCTTCAGTTTCTTACTTGGTCTACTATTTGTTCATAATTGAATTCAGAATGATAGTAATTTACGTAACTAACCCGAAAAATACTGTTTTTTTCTTTGGACGAGTATACAAAATTCTAAGCAGAGCCGTAGGCGAGTCCTGGAAGTCTGCGGGTCCAAAAAAATAACAAATCAATGAGATACATTTCCATATTATATTTGTAGGATAAAATTTTAATTCTTATTTGTATCACATACTGAAAGTTGAACAGAATACCTATGCCTACTAACAGCTACATTGGAAATTTCGTATGGACGTTTTCAAACTGACTATCGCTACTGATTCTGATATTTCATTGCGATAATTGCAACCAAACTTTCAAAAATCAAAATGTCTTCTAATTTCATGTTAAATAGCTGTCAGCCGTCATTTCGCTGCTATGATAATGATCATCTGCATTTATCGAAACCATATCCACCAAGATTTTCATAGTTACAGCAGTGGCGGCTCGTGCTCCCTTCAACAGGGGAGGCTGAATGGGAAGTGGGAATGTGACTGACGACCCTGATAAGGTTCTTGTTCATAAAAAAAACCGTGAGATGCGCAAATGACAACAATGACTTATAATTACAAGTAAATACAGAAATTTTGTAAGTATATAGGTTCATTTTTGAAAGTGTTTAGTAAAATTCTGATAGTCTGACATTATATTGCGATTTTCAACTGTTTATGGAGTATTGCCGTCAAGTTTGGACAAAACAAAAGCGCATCTATGCAAACACTATTAAGTACTAATAATCATCTCAGTCACATGTGCTCCCTCGCAAATCACGATTCTGGCGAATTTCTTTGGTCAGAGCTGCTTTCCGTTGCATGTTGCCAAGTAGCATATTTATATTCTATTCTGAATACTTTTAGGTATAAAAGCATTACTGCCAAATTCTCAAATAGTACTTGATATCAGGATATAAAACCGATAAAACGAACGTAAGTTATCGAAAAGGAATATTCTCAGATATATTTATGAGCACAAAACAAATGGATATATATATATATAAAGAAATACATTGAGAATTCGCATTCTCCATGTGATGAAAATATTAATTCTATCTTAAAAAAAAACGTAAGTTAGCTATTTCGGTGTTATATTTTACAAGTATATCGAACTATTCGATGTATGGAAATTCTTGAGGAGGCTCATCCTCAGTTTCCTCCTCTGAGGAGCCGCCACTGAGTTACAGTGACATCAACAATGGAAAAATGCTACTTTCTCGAAGAAAAACCGTCCGGAAAGTGAGCACTTCACGGACGGTTGCCGAAAATATATATTTTTAATGATATTCAGCCTTTTCTTCTTCTTGTTGAAAGAAATGATTACGTTATTTGTTTCTTATTGATGAATTTATTTTCTAATGAAATCAAAACATTCCTAATTTTGAGCCGTGTTAACACGCGGTTGATTGAATGATACTAAATTATACATCTGTATTAACTGCCTCCACATCGATGGCACTACAACTGCTATTCGTGTTCTCCACATTCTCAGCCACCATCTCATTGTTCTTATTATCATTATCTGCCATTTCTTCGGCATGACAGAGCTTCCGATGCTTGTGCACGAAATAATAACTCGGGAATTTGCTGCCACACGTTTTGCACGGATAATACTGCACGTTCATATCCAACAGCTTCACTTCTCTCTTGGCTTCCTTGGCCACTCCTTTGGCCTCCAAGTACACCGGATTCAGGTGTCGTCGAGCGTGCTTCTGGTAGCAGTACTGGGACTTGAAGGTGTGGTTGCAGTATTGACAGGTGAATACTTCGCTGTTTCGATTCTCGTTTTCGTCTAGTTGGTCTTTGATGTTTTCGTTCATGACTTTGTTGAGAACTGCGTTCTTGTTCACTTCTTCTCGCTGATATGTTTCTGAAGGAAGCGGTATGCCGTAATTTTGGTTGATTACTCTGTGGAATTTGACGGGACCGTCGCAGCAGGCGATATCTATGACGACTTTATCGTTATGGTGCTGCCGCTTGCGGTGCTTCTGTTTCTCGCTGTTCTGTGATTTCCTCGGCGTCGTGCTTTTGACTTCGCTTTCTATCTTGGAAGTCGAGGCTACCTCCGCAATAACCTCTTTCGATTCCGAGGTAACAGCTTTGAAGGGGGTATCTTCTGACTTTTGGAATCTGCTGAAGGTCGGCGTGTATATTTCCTGGCTCGGTAGAGCCTCTTTCCTGCTGGGTATGGGTTTGATGACGTTGGTTCGCGTTTCCGTGGATTGAGTCTGCATCAGAAAGGACCTGCAGATCTCGAGGGCTCTGGGCATGTGGAGGATGTGCGTGGCCAGGAGGATGTTGTAGATGTTGGCGACGTTGAGGTCCAAGTATCCGGTGTACATGAACGTCAACAGGGAGGAGAATTCGTCCACGTTCACGTTCGGGACGGATATTGATGAACCTGAAAAAAAATATTATTTTTACGACTGGTTTATGATTCTGTAGATGATGTGTCGATCAAAACCTGGTTTTGTTCTTGATGTAGGTAGGGAGATCGTGAACGAGTCTGATTTGGAGATTTGGAAGTTTGTATGCAGAAATCATGCCCCGATAATTCAGTTCAATATTTTCAATTGAGATACTTTTTGATTAAGTATGTCTTGAAATGGAATATTCTCAGATATATATTGAACAGAAAAAAATGGATACATACGAACAACATTGGTTTATGACTTTATTGGATTGAATGAACATATGTTTACTTGACACATTTTGCCTTCAACTGAATCAACATTCCAGTAGTTACACATGAAAAGGATTTTCCTCATATTTATCAGAAAAAAAAAAACGAAAACATAAAAAAAGGAACGTAAATTGAAAGATTGACATATTTTTCGAAAGCCCAAGAAAGAGAACATGATAGGGTTTTTTTCGAGTACATGAACAAAGACTATAATAACTACAATAAAAATCCATATCTTGGAATGTTGATGTCTGATGCGCTCTTCAGGATTCCTTGGTGGAATCTACATATAAACATATATCGGCGTTTTGAGTGATACTGTGTGCTTGAAAAAGGTATGAACTTCCTGAACTCTGATCTGACATCATAGTTTAGTAATTATACCCAAAATGACGTATTCAACCAATGGGTTGGAATTTGATTTCTTCTCAAAATTATTACCGAATACCTGATAGAATGTGAAGTATAGACGAAACATGAATATTGGAATAGCATTATAATTGACAGTTTTGAAATTATGAGCATGGGCATAACAATCATGCTTGCAGCTCGTTTTTGAGGTTGATCATTCTAATTTGAATTTCTGTTGAAATGTTAGAGATATTTTAATTTATCCATAATTTCATAAATTGTGTCTGGCAACAATGGTTCTAAACCTGATTCACACCATACTGGAATGACAGCAAATCGTAGCGAAATCATTTCTGTGGTTATTGTGTGTATTTTGTTTACATTTTTGTTAACTTGATTTTTCAACTGAGTTAATTTTCGGATTGTGATCTGATCAATCGACTCCTACTGTCTGAAAGGGGGCCTATATAGTAAATAATTGACATAAAAGTGAAGTTAAATATTTTTGTGAGGCTAGACCATGCAATAGCCATGCTAGACAGCAGAATCCTAAAATAGCGTTTTCCACTCGTTGCACTAGCTCGAAATTTTTGGGCACTTAGCGCGTTTTGATTATGAATGTGTTATTGAAGTTTATTCCAATACTTTCCGAAATCATAGACTCTCTGGAGCGATAATGAAGAAATGATGACTGAGATACAGGAGTACTTCGTTACGAAACAGTATTTACCGAAAATTCAAAATTACCAGAAAATACCATATAAGACTGTTGCCGACAGAGAAATCACAAGAAGTGGATGAATCCATTTTATTTGGACCAGCGAAACCAAATGTGCCATCAATAATTTAACTTTTTGATTGATAAAACAATTCTGACCTTTTTGACAAGGTAACAAGGACAAGATGGTCGTACCCAAAGGCACTATTTGAAAAAACCGAGCCAGTGCCATTTGTACTTGCTCTGTGCTAGTGGTCTGTAAATCGGCAACTGGAAAACGTTATAAAACTTGGTAGTCGAATAACAATTCTATGAAAATTCGTTCGAGTCAAACTACCTCATTGTTGAATGTTGCTGCATTCATTCACGCTTACCTGTATGATTGCCGAGGGCGGCCTTGAAGAATCCGCTGTGCGCCGACAAAACGGTTCTGTGCGCGGAGAACTGCGTCATGCCGGGGCCCACTCGCAGGGCGACGTCGGGCGCGCTGGGCGGCCGGCCGTGGGGCGTGGACAAATTGAGAGGGGCGGGCGAGGGCGGCGGGGGCGGCAAGGGCGGCATCGCGCCGCACGGGCCGAGCGTGAGCCAGGCTCGGTAGAGGGAAAACATCGGGTGGTAGTGGTGAAGGGGTGGAGCGTGGGCGGGTATCGATCGTGTCCTGAAATGGTATATCATAGTACAGGTTGTCCGAAAAGGTTTTTTCCTCCAGCGAGCCCAAAAAACTTCTCTGATATGTTAAAAGTATGAGATCTAGAGACATTGAACCTCCACTGCGATGTTCTGTTTACACATGAATAGAATAACAACTGCTAGATCTCATAACTGAGAGATCCAGGATGAACAGAGTTGCCCCAATTGACAACAGGAGCGAGACAGTACTGTTTCGACCCACCAGGTCTCATCCGCCGCTCTCGTTCTGCTGACAACTGGGACAACTCTACGCTTCGGGTATATCACCCATTTCGAAGACGCAGGGTATCACATAAAGTTCTAGTCATGTTGTAGCCATCTAGTGGCAAAGCTCTACGGTAGGATCAAGAGATCGCGACACACACTGTATGACGCTGCCATCTATAGTCACACCTACAGACCCTTACGTCTATACGCTACAGAGTGGTACTACAAGTAAACCACTCTGCTGACATATGGCACTACCTGACATATACTTGAGGGGATTTTTCCACCGACCTATTCAACTGTCATGTATGTCATATAAGTCATGTATGAAACACATGACTAGAACTTCATGTTATACCCTCATGTTATACCCTGCGTCTTCGAAATGAGTGATATACCCGAAGCGTAGAGTTGTCCCAGTTGTCAGCAGACCGAGCCGGCTGATGAGACCTCGTGGGTCGTAACAATACTGTCCCGCTCCTGTTGACAATTGGGGCAACTCTGTTCATCCTCTGGATCTCTTAGTTATGAGATCTAGCAGTTGAATAGGTCGGTGGAAAAATCCACTCAAGTATATGTCAGGTAGTGCCATCTGTCAGCAGAGTGGTTTACTTTAGACGTAACGGCCTGTACGTGTGACTATAGATGGCAACGCCATACCATGTGTGTCGCGATCTCTTGATCCTACCTTAGAGCTTTGCCACTAGATGGCTACAACATGACTAGAACTTCATGTTATACCCTGCGACATGAATAGAACTTTTATGGAACAGCCAATGTCCGCCTTCTCCCTAGTTTTTTTATAGCATTTTCATGGACACAACATAACATTTTCAAAGCGTCTTGCGCACAATAAATTGCTGTAAATGAACAATTTTTTAGGAAATTTTCTGAAGCCTTTTGTGCGAATGCACTTTTGCATTATGCAATGCAATATGCAATATGCAATATGCATTAAAACAGATTGAACATCAAAATATTTACTTGATATGAAGTTATCGGTTTCTTAGTAGTGCTCGCTACACACGGACATGTGAGTAGGTATTTGGAAATAGGTTTTCCAATTTTTAAAATGCTCTGCCACACTGCATAGTTTTGCATCTGCGAAGAAGCTGTTTATCGATAAATTTGTGCTTTCATCTTGTTTACATTGAAACACTGAACAAGACATCTTGCATTTGCTGATCATTAGTAGTAACTAAATGAGAAAATAAGTCTGCTGACACAATAAACTTCACCAAATTCCTTAAGAAACTGAGATCCCGCTTATAAAACACTGATCAATTCACACGCAGCCTTATGTAGCTTTGGTTTGGTTTGTTTTAGTTATTATTCGATGTTGAAGTCAGTCAAATGAAGACAGAAGCGTGACTTGAGCGTGAGACGCTGCAAACGCGAATGTGAACAAGAACAACATAATCGTGGTTGTGGTGGGGCAACAGAAGAACAAAAACAATACTTCGAATATCCTTCAAAGACCTCTTTGGGAAGTGCAAATTTCGTCTCAAAAAAACATCCTGATGCCTACATTTTTAAAACATCCCAAAACATCCCAGGGATACTTCCTCAGTAGGCAAACAAAGAAATGCCGCAGAAGAATACTTCAATGTCCTTCAAAGACCTCTTTGGAATGTGCATATTGCGTCTCAAAGGAATATCTTCATATCAACATTTTCGAAATATTCCAAAACATCCCAGGGATCTTTGTGCTCGCTGATTATTATTTTAAAAAATCATGACTCATTCAGTCTTAAATGTAGAAAATATTTTCTATTTATAAAATTGACTACAAAATGTGGAAATCCATTTGTTTTATTGCTCTAATTTCATCTCGAAATCTTTGCATCAACTGATTCAGATTTGCAGACATTTCAGTGTATACTCAATGACAGTTAAGTCGGTCATTTTGCGTTAGGACCGCGTGTTTGCCAATTTCAGAGAACGTTTGGAGGAGATGGTGCACGTGGGAGGGCAGCATCTCCATGGCATGATATTTAACAGAAAAATTTCCACATTTGCAGTTAATGTTATAAATAAATAGTATATTACACACCGAGGTGGGAAGAGATTCATTCCTGTCGTGAGATTAATTAGTCAACCGAGACGCAAAGCGTCGAGGTTAGCTATGATCTCGAGACAGGAATTAAACTTCCTACCGAGGTTTGTATACTATTTTATTCACAACCATCATATTTCGATCAAAATTAATAAATCTCTGTTTCTCACCCGCAGAAACACACTGATTATAGAAGTTGAAGAAAAATGTAATTTTGTTCGGTACCGATTCGGTCGTTTTTAAAATAGAAACAACGCTCTATAATGGAACATTCATATCCCGCTGACTGATATCTTCAAAACATGTCAGAACTTTGTAGCCATAAATTCGGAATGCATTGTGTGTATATGTTCTCAATTAACACAAACATTGTACAAAGTGACGTGACATTCAAGAAGAATGAAAACAAGAGAAAAGAGTCACTTCAAATTGATAAGTTTTTTTTTGTCATGAATATAGAACGCAAATTTCAAAGTAGAAGTTGATCATGATAATCATACTGGGTGTCATGAGTGAACCAAATATGGAAGAAATTGAATTGTACCTTCAAATATTGATCGAAGGCATAAATTAATATTATTTCGCTCGAGTTGTAACAAAATAACGCACTAAAATGAAACGTTCACATACGGCTGACGAACATCTTGATAGCAAAACTTTATAAATTTAAATTCGGAACGCATTGGGTCTGTTATATGAACAGAACAAATCATGAAGACAATAAAACATTACCTTCAAAATAAAAAAAAATCAATTTGATCACTGTCAGAAATTGTATATCAACGCGCGATTTGAAACAAAATAACGCGTCAAAATGGGACGTCCACATCCGGCTGACGAACATCTTAATAACATGTCAGCACTTTATAGCCATGAATTCGGAACTTTTTGTGTGTATTTATTATTTGTTTCATAAATTGACATAAAAATTATTCAGAGTGACGTAACATTGAATGATAATCAATGTAAAAAATAATAATCACTTCAAAATGATTCTTTTTTTATAAATATAGAACTTTAGGAGATTTTCACAAAACTCATATTGGGTGGTTTGCTAATCGTGCATCATCAGAAGTTTCATGAACAAAACTATTCCTTATGAATGAAACTTTTTTTTTATAAATATAGAACTTTAGGAGTTTTTCACAAAACTCATATTGGGTGGTTTGCTAATCGTGCATCATCAGAAGTTTCATGAACAAAACTATTCCTTATGAATGAAACTTTTTTTTATAAATATAGGACTTTAGGAGTTTTTCACAAAACTCATATTGGGTGGTTTGCTAATCGTGCATCATCAGAAGTTTCATGAACAAAACTATTCCTTATGAATGAAACTTTTTTTTATAAATATAGAACTTTAGGAGTTTTTCACAAAACTCATATTGGGTGGTTTGCTAATCGTGCATCATCAGATGTTTCATGAACAAAACTATTCCTTATGAATGAAACTTTACCTGCAGAAACAGATTCTTTTTTTTATAAATATAGAACTTTAGGAGTTTTTCACAAAACTCATATTGGGTGGTTTGCTAATCGTGCATCATCAGAAGTTTCATGACCAAAACTATTCCTTATGAATGAAACTTTACCTGCAGAAACACCGAAAACTCAAATTAATTGACGAAAAACTTTATTCGATAACGATTTATTCGATATAGAAAAAAAAACCGCGACACAATGCAACGTTCACTTCCGACTGACGGACATCTTCATAACATGTCAGAACTTTATAGCCATAAATTCGCCCCGCAAGTTCGGGGGGTGGGAGAGGCGGGCCGATATGCCGCCGCCGCCGCTCGTTCCGGCCATTTAAATTCTTCGTTTTCCGCGCATTCAGATGAACCTATCACTTGTGAAGGGTTAATTCGGTGATTACGATAGAGATGTTCATTGTTTCGTCAGACAGATGGTCAGACTGAAGGTGGATTCATGCAACATCGACTAAATTATAATGAATTTAAAATTTAAAATTAAAAATATAGGGAAAAGGAATATTCTCGGATATAATTATGCACACCAAAAAATGGATATACAGGGTGTTCCTTAAAGACATGCTAATATTTGAGGGGGGATTCTCTGACTCTCCTAAAAGTCTTAAATTTTGAGATACAGGGTGATGAGGTTTTGAAAAATATTCAGTTTTTTATGATAACTAAGCCAATACAGTCTGTCCAAGATAAGGTTGAACAGCATGGGGATCTCGGAATCGGTAGGAGATACGAAGTCGTTTAAATGGGGAAAAAGTTGCGCATTCGGAGGCTCATATCAAGAGCCTTCGAAAATTTTCAAAATTATATTTAGTTTTTGAGTTATATCGAAAAAAGTGAATTTTTGGAATATCTATTTTATTTTTTTCTCCGTTATTATAATAGATACAGCAAAACTGAGAATACTTTTTCATTGCAACTTTTGATGACGTCCAACGTGGTAATACTGATTTTTTTATGCGACGTTTCGTATTCGTGGAACCATCATCAACTTTTGTTTTTTAAATGCGGTCCTGATAATTTTTTCACAGATTCTGAAAGTTTTTTTTATTCTGAATTCAACCATGTATTATACAAGGTGGTTTATGTGTGTTTCGACCTACTTTTAGCCATCATCAATGTTTTTTCGAAATTCCAAAGGGGAAATGCCATCAGATCCACTTATTTTGAAGGAAATCAACACACTAATACCTCATCAACTGGTTTCAATCAACAACCCATTTCATTTTGCGGAAACAAAAATTCCATCCATACAAATTCCGAATATGTCAAGCGCTAAAACCAAGCGATGACGAAAGGCGCAGGACATTCTATGAGTGGTATACCAGGAAATGTCAAAATTTTGCAGATTTCCCTCGAACAATCATCTGGACTGATGAAAGCATGGTCACTAATCATGGTATCTTCGATAGAAAAAAATACATATTATTGTTTACGAGAAATTGAACATTTATACATTACAGTGAGACACCAACACCGTTTCGGCTTCAATATGTGGGTTGCAATATTTGGTACACGAATTATTTACTATGAAACACAGACTTCCGAACGTTTTAGAAATTTGCTTGAGAATCATCTTGAGGAAGCTCTAGATGATTTACCGATTGCGGAAGTTCAGAACTGTTAGTTTCAACAAGATGGTACGCCGGTACATAATTCCGGAGAAGTCCGTGCGTTTTTATCCAGAAAAATGAATTGGTACTCATTCTACAGTCCCTTGGCCGGCGCGGTCACCTGATTTGACACAGCTGGATTTTTTCTTAGGGAATATATCAAACTTTGTATACGCAAATAACTTTGATAATGAAGAAGAACTAAGGGACAGTGTCTTCGAAGCATTCAATAGAATAACCCCAGAAATGCTAAGCAATGTCTTAGAAGCAACTGTGAGAAGAGGATATCTTTGTTCAGAAAATAATGGTTATCATTTTGAACATTTGTTATTAATGTCTCTGTAGGTATTGTCAAAGTTAAGTTGATAAAGTAATTCGTGTAAGAATTCATCAACAATTTTAAGCCCTGCATTGATCGAATGATGTAGTGAAATATTTTTTATTTACTTTTCAGTAGGTATTGAATAACTAATCCATCAAGTTGACACTGTATGATCAGAAATGAGTGGAACTGATGGCTTTTTTCCTTTGGAAGTTCGAAAAAACATTGATGATGGATAGAAATAGGTCAAAACACATTCGAATCACCTTGTATAATACATGGTTGAATTCAGAATGAAAAAACCTTTCAGAATCTGTGAAAAAATTATCAGGACCGTTTTTGAAAAACAAAAGTTGATGATGGTTATACGGATACAAAACGTCGCATGAAAAAATCGGTATCACCACGTTAAACTTCATCAAAAGTTGCTATGAAGAAGTATTTTCAGTTCTTCTGTATATCTAATAATAACGGAGAAAAAAAAATATA